ATTCTTACAAACTGCATCAAATCACATAATTACTAATTACTTTATAGTAATTTTTGTGTAACTGATAGCTATCAACGAATTTAAAACACACTAAATCACACTAAATCACATAATCCCCGTGTCCCGGCATCGAATAGATTTAATATGGTACGAATCATTAACAACACAATTTAAATAGCCATAATGAAATTTGACAATTGGTAGGTTTAAACCAAATTAGTAAATGCTTTATTGTTTTTTTTTTTGTTTTTTTTACTCCAAATAGAGTTTCAAAATTATATTAAACCAAAAGGGTAGAATCGATTTTTAACTAATTTTTGACAGGTGAACTAGTTTTTAACTAGACTTTTTAGAGACTGAACCAGGACCGGACGCACCACTTAACATCTCTAATCTTGATTCTGGATTATATTTAATATCTGATATAGAATTAGACGTACGTACGTACGTATGTAGACTATTCTTTTATTTAACAAATAAACAAATATCTACTTGCTCACTTTGTAGCAAAATATGTATTAAATTCGTTATAGCTTCAATTTTTTTGTTTCGATTTTGTATTTTTTTATTCTTTGAAACTCATCATTTGTAACATTTACCATTTCCCCCTGTTGTTATAACCGGAGTTGTCTGATACGTAATTTAAGAACAGATGACTAAATAAATACTAGAAATCGGACATAATTTTATGAAAAATCTGGTCATGTATATCGCAGATCAAAAACGTAGTTTTTGATATTTTATTATAGATGCATCAAAATCGTAAATTCAGTCATCAAAGCGCATAGAAATATATAAGTCCTCCGCTTCGCTCCGGACAACTTCGCTCTATGATTGAAGACAGAAATTTGATACTTTTAAATATCTTTGCTGACAAATAATGAACAAGATTTAGGTTTATCAGTTTAAAAAAATTGATAAAATCGGGTTTTTTAATGATATTGATATATTGAAAACTTCAGTCGCTTTTAGGAAAACTTTTTATTGAACACGAACGATATAAAATATGGTTGACTTTTAACATTAGCACCTATTCATGTAATATGTTATTATAAAAATTTATTTTATATTTGGAACCGCTTTTATATTTCTTGTCAAGATTTATTAGTTGACAAGAACGCACATATTAAACACATCAATCATGTCAGACAAGAATTCAGATAAAAAAATTTTGATAATATTGATATTATTGTTATAACGATCTATCAAACAATACAAACAATCATTAATAATACAAAAATAACTTTTATTTATATTCAGCCAAAAAATCATTGTGCCAGCTTGAGCCAACTTACCTGAGTTGGCTCGAGCTTGCTCGAGCTTGCTTAAGCCGACCCACCCCTACAAATCGTTATTTTTTAAACGTTTGGAATTTTTCAAAATGTTATTTGCCTGCCTTAATTCCTGATTCTCATTTACTAAAGTCTGGTTTTCATCACTTAATTCGTTTGTACGTTTGGTCAGTCTATCGATCATAACATATAAACCCTCCATTTGATGAGCACTTTTAAGTTCGGAATTTTCTTGTTTAATTGTTCTTATTTGTTCCTTGAGATCTGAATTTTCTTGTTTAGTTGTTCTTATTTGTTCCTTGAGATCTGAATTTTCTTGTTTAGTTGTTCTTATTTGTTCCTTGAGAACTGAATTGTCTTCGATGGCCTTTTTATGAAAATGTATGTCTTCAGATCCTGGAGAAGGATTGCTGCTGCCCTCATCTTTCAATTTGATTCTTTGTCTTAAATCCAAAATTTCTCTGTCTAAAGAGCCTATCTTTAAATTTAATTTTGCTGTTTCTTTAAGTAGCTTTGTAGTTAAATCATCGTTTGTACGTATTAGTTGAGCATTTTTACCGTTTAAATCGGAAATTTTATTATCCAATTCTTTGTTTTGTAATCTTAAATGGTCGATCTCTCGAGTGTCAACAATGTTATTCTTCTTTTTTAGCTCTATTTCTAAAAAAGTAATTCTTTCAGAAAGGCCTACTTTATCCTTTTCTAATAAATCATTTATTTGTTTAATTTGTTCATTTTCATTCATCGTTTTCTCATTTTCATTTTGCATTTTTTCATTTTCTTTCTTCATTTTTTCATAATCATTCTTCATTTTTTCATAGTCATTCTTCATTTTATCATAGTCATTCTTCATTTTTTCAATCTCATTCTTCATTTTTTCATTTTGAGTTCTTAAAAAATTATTTTCTGCCTTTTTTGCTTCGATTAACCGGTCTTGTTTATTTGCTGGTGTAGGAACTGCCGTACTTTGTCCAAATGAATTAGCATCAACGAGGACCTCGCTCTCTCCGGATGAGTTACTCAAATTCGCAGAAAAATGTCTATTATTTATTTGTTCATTGACTAATCCATTGGTTAGTCCATTTGTTGGTCCATGTGCTGGTCCATTTGTTAGTCCATTTGTTAGTCCATTGTTTAGGCTTGGTGGAGCCTTTGGAGTCGTTATTGAAACGGGCATTTCTCTGCTGTTTGAAATTAATGTAATATCTCGGAGATTTCTATTGATCTCTGTTAATTTATCCTCCCATTCCCAAAAATCACAATGATCACACTTGTAATAAGGTCGATTTGGGTTCAATTTAGTTTTTGAAATCCTTTTAGCAACAACTCTGTTGCAATTACATCTAACTTCAGACATTCTAGGAACTTCAAAATTCGACATATTTAATGAAGTGAAGAATCTTGAGTATCTGCGATAAGGCGTCTGTATTGTGCATTAAATTGCAGAATTGTCATACCGATACGAGTAAACAAACATTAATTATCACATGATCAAGATAAACACGTGAGAATAATTGAGTTCTAAATCGCCATTATTTATAATAACAAACATGATATCAATCGATATTGACAACTAACACCACGTAATAATAAATATTCTATTCATCTAATCGACTAATTGACTAATTTGTTGATTAGTTGATTGGTTGGCCAGTCGATTAATCGATGCGACCAGAAATCGAAGCGATGATTAATATCGTGTAGCGGTATTTATATACGAGCCGATACATGATTGTGCATGTATGATGAATGCAGAACTTTCACATGTTGCAGGGCTTGTGGATAATTGGCTTTTGAATGTATTATTGTAATCAGGATTACGAACTCGATTATAAATCTGCACATAACTCAATTCATATAAGTTACTGTTACATAGAGATATATTAGTCACAATAATGGCAATCAACGAAAAATCGTCGAACAAAAATATTAATTAGTGCTACAGTAAGGATTTAACTTATTACTTTACCGGACTTAATTAAGCTTGGGATTAGAGTGGACGGGGAAATGTGATGTGCATATATGTGCATATGTGACATGTTTTTCGTGAATCATATGTGCACATA